GGTGGGTCCCCAACTTTCTGCGCTTTTATTCAACTTGGGGCTACACTCTATTTTTGTTTTGACGCTTCCCATGTGTATCCTGGGGAAGTTGTATTCAAGAGCCTCTCGCACTGACAGGTGCACGATGGGACTTTGAGCACAGTGGCTGGCAGAGGAAAAGCCGCCCGCACCTGGAAATCGGCCGGTCATTCCACTGAAGTATGTGTTGGCGGCAGTTCCTTCACTTTCGCCAGAGTGGGCCACAAGAAACCTTCCCCCAGGACCCCTGCTGACCCTGCAGTGGGGACACTGCTGAGCTGGAAGCGGGTCAGGGACCCAATGGCCGCTTCATCAGCAGCCCCACGTGGGAGAGTTCCCTTATGATGACGAACTCAGAAAAGCTCTACTTCCCCTAAGAAACAGGCCCTCGTCTTTATGAGAAGAAAGGGTCCCAAGTCCCTTTTCACGTTGGCGACTAGAAATTCAGAGCCAAGTGGAAGTTCAGAGACAACCACGGCGGCCCTCTCGGATCCTTCATCAGTGGACGTTCTCTACACACGACCTTGAATTTGTTCACCCGTTTCTATTCCCCAGCTCCCTGTTTTCTACTCCTAAGGACTTTCTGCCACTGTTTTGCTAAACGTGAAGTAATTTAAGCAGCTTCCAGGTCTGTGGGAGAGGTGAGGGTGACAGGAACAGCGGGCAGGCCCCGGGACACTCAGGAGCTGCCCCTCAGCCCCGCGTGGCCACGGCCGGGCCTGCTCCAGCCACTCACTCTTCACGGGAAGCACGTTCTGCGGGGAGGCCGGCTGCACGTGGGCCGCCGGCTCCTGGTTCTCCAGCAGCTTCTTGCTCAGGATGTCACTGAAGAAGATCCGGATCAGAGGCACCCCCCACAGGAACTGCAGCTGTTTGGTGACCAAGGGCATTGACTCGTTGAGGCTGGGAGAGAAAAGGAGACCAGAGGGTCGGGTCCACCCAGCGGAGGGCCAGGGAGAGCCCCCACGGTTCCCTAAAGGGCCTTGCACTGAGAGGTATAGCAGGACCTGCCACTCAACATGGTCAATAAGATCATACTTTAAAAAGGGGGATCCACAATTGCTGCTGAGGCCTGATGTGGAAGACACTGCCCTTTATCTTCCCTGTCGCTCCACCCAGACTTCCTGTGCTGCCAACAGCACTATTGCTCTCCCTCGGTCCCCACACTCCACGTCACGGCATCTCCCAGACGCCCTTTATCTGCCTTCACCCTGATTCCATCCTGTTTACCACTCAGTGGACAAGCCATCTCATGCCTGCCATCTTGTCCTGTTCACAGCCAGCTGCAGGCCTGGCCCACACCCCGCTAACTCTCCAGCCTCCTGGAAGTCTCCCTGCCTTCAGTTGCTCCTTCCTCCTCTCCACACCGCACCCCAGCATCACTCACACCCTGAAACCCGCCTTCATCACCTCCCCGCTCCAGACCCTGTAATGCCTCCCAGCATCACAGTGGTAACGGCCGCCACCCACTGAGCATGGGCCAGGCCTGCGGGAGGCTGACACCGTTTATGCCATTCAACCCTTTGAGACACCTGTGTTCAGATGAGAAAAGTGAGGTGAAGCGACTGTCCAAGGTGCCCCCAGAGAACAGGAGTGCAGCTGAGCTCAGGCTGTTCACCTGGTGATAGTCTGCCCCACCCTCTGCCCACAACATCCCGATGCCCAACACACAGGCCCCTCCGTCCTCTTCAGTCTGGGGCAGCGCTCTGGTTGGCAGTTGATAGTCTTTAACTGGATGCCACTCAGGCACAAGGAAAAGGGAGAAAAGCGGGGACTTCCTGCCCTGGCCCCCAGTTTTCTGCTTCCAGAGTCCCCGGCAGGGACCCCAGGCCTCAGGCAGACATGGAAAACAGCTAAGCAGCACGCCGCCTCAGGTCCTGAGAGCCACATCATTTCAGCCCAGGGTGCACATTTAAATTTGTGATGCCACCTTATTGCACCTCTATCTTCTAGAAGTGTTTTTTAAAAAAATATTTTTGAATTCTTCATTAAAAACGTTAACATTTATATTCCAGCTCCTGAAAAACATGTGGAGTGACTTCTATTCCCTTTGAATCATGTACCTTATTTTAGTTTCCACAAAATACGGCAATCTAGGCAATCAACAGAATGATATTGAAGAAGGAAAGATAATATTAATAGATATTGTTCATAATTTACTAAATGAAAATACAAATTAATACAATCCCATTTTTGTGAAAAAACTGGTAGGAAAAAGACTGAATAGAAGTGCACACAGGTTGTCTTAGGAGATGATTTTTATTCTCTTGTGTTCGTACCTATACTTACACAATGACTATATGTGACTTTTATAATAAGAAACAAACAACATAAGCTAAAATGAAGAAAGAAGGGAGAGGTGGGGGAGAGGCAGGGGAGGCAGGAAGGGCAGGGCTTTGCCCCGGGACTCACCCATAGTCCACCGACTGGGAGAACCAGCCAAGGACGGGGTGCCAGTGGGTCAGGTTGGATTTCTTCTGGGTCACGTACTTCTGACAGTAGCACAGCATCTGCGTGAGCAAACTCACAAACCCATCTGTCTCCTCCTCCAACACCCTGGGGCTGAGGGAGCCCAGGTGCAGGAGGTTGCCTGCAAAGAGATAAGGCTGAGGGCGCAGGGTCCAGACAGACAGGCTTCATCACCTCGCGGCCTGCGCTCTGCCTGGCGCTCAGGCAGCCACGTCTCTGTGCGGGAAGAATTGCACGGGGAGGTGCACTTGTCAGGGCTGGGGCTGCAGGCGGTGCAGGGCCGAGACCTAGGCCAGCCTGGCTTCCCATCCTGGCTCTGCCTGTGGCCAGGGGTGACCCTCACCCCACCTCTCCCATCTTGTTTCCTCGTCTGTAAGACTGGAATAACGATCCCCACCTTCGATGTGAAGGCTGTATGGACTAACATGTAGACTGTCTGGCACATGGGGATCTGACATTTAGCTCATATGACATTTTACAATTACACTATGATTTTAAAACCAAGGGTTAATGTAAGAAATGACCTTTTTGAAGAATATCTGAATTTCCATGGAAGTCATTGTTATTCAAAGTTAACCAAGGTTATTTAACATGCCTTGTGTGAGGACTCCCCTAAAATTTGGCCTTAAGAACCTTTCTCTATGTTAGGCACTGAGAATTAGGTGCGTCTGCAGTTTTCAAATGCTTCTATCCACAACCCCTTTGATCTACAAAGAAAATAGTAAAACAGATGATGCAGGCCTTACTCTGATCTAAGCCCTACCCAACTGCGCCCTTCCTTCTCCCAACATAAGAGTTATCCAGGCCCCTCATCATGTTTTCAATTTTCCCTTGGCTGCCAGGAAGCTAAGGGCTAAAATTTAACATTCACTTACACTCACTCAACCAGTCTGCCAAGTTGGATCTATTTCCCATGTGACTTTCAACTTTACATGTCTCGTTTAACTGTCTATCTGATTACATGTTTCCTATTGTAAACACTTTTAATCATTAATAAAAACAGCTCTTGATCTCCCGAAAGGTGAAAAGCAAACCACTTGGGGTTTTCCTGACGCCCAGGACACAGTCACATCCCAGCCTCAGCTACTCACCCATTAGACACAGCGTATGGCTTCCTTCTAAACTCTCACAGACATCGCGGCATCGATCTTTAGCTCTTAAAAATGTGATGAACTTACGAAGCATGTCATGAGATTCTACCACAGTGAGGCGCTGCGAACAATTACAGACTGTCAAAGGGGAAGCTGACGGAAGAAGTCCCCACGGGAGCATGAACTTGACTCCTGCAGGTCACCCCCCAGGAGCCCAACATGCTACTGATTGCCAAGAAGATGAACAAATACGAGAACCTCTTTCTTAGGGCTGCTAACAATAGTGTGTTGACAGTGGCTACGGATGTAGAAGAAAAATCAGGGAAGAGGTGGGAATTAACAGAGAAAACAGTTTACGCTCTAATTTCCAAGGAAGTAAAAAATAGAAGGGGGAACTCAGGGCCCACTTACCTCAGGGGTCACTACGCTGAGATGAGTCACAAGAGCTGGCACAGACATGATGTGGACGAGGAATGGCCGAATCAGATTGTCTGAAAACTGGGCAGCAATCACAGGGCTAGACACAGACAGATCACCTTACTCAGAGGTTACCAAGGCCCCCCAAGCCCCTTGGAATTATGCTTCCCATGATGGGGACACCCACTAAGGCAGTGGTTCTCAACCTTCTGGCTCTTTAAATACAGTTCCTTATGTTGTGACCCAACCATAAAATTATTTTTGTTGCTACTTCATAACTGTAATATTGCTACTGTTATGAATTGTAATGTAAATATCTGATATGCAGGATGGTCTTAGGCGACCCCTGTGAAAGGGTCGTTTGACTGCCAAAGGGGTCGCGACCCACAGGTTGAGAACCACTGCACTAAGGAAAGGCTGAGTCACGTGACACAGCTATGACAAATCAGTTTTGACGTTTTACTGACATGATGTCATCAAAATCTTTCCTTAGCCTACTCATAATTGTTGTACTTAAGCCCCCTCGGGTGACAAATTCTACAAATGCACTTCTGGTGGTACATTTAACAGGGTACGCATCCATTCTGGTAAGCACAGCAGGGGAGGGGGTAAACGTAGTGTAATGCATAGTCTCAGCCAACAGAGAGCTGGGGCCGCAACCAGGGAGCTGGAAAGGCACACAGGCACAGCCGGAAACCAGGGCCAGCCGTCCATGCACCAGGTAAAGAGGGTCCCAGCTAATGAAAGGAGCAGGGCAAGTTTGGGAAGATCCCCATGTACCATTACTTAAAGAAACACGTATTGTTTTAGAGTACAGAGATGTGCCAATATGGGAAGCAATTTTAAAGAATAAGGAGTAATGAGTGTGGGCTCTGGAGTCGTATGGCCTGAGTTTAATTCTTGGCCCTACCACTCGCCGCTGTGTGACCAAGGACAAGAGGCTTACCCTCTAGGCCTTAGCTTCCTCATCTATGACGTGGAGTGAGAGAATGTGGTGAGGAGTCAGTTAGTATGTGTACACGCCTTAAACAACGTGCGGCCCTTCAGAAGCAAGTACATTTCCTACTTACCGCAAGGCCAGAGAAAAGGCTGCAGTCAGAGTGCCTTTGGACAGACAAGGCCGGGGTCTGGCCAGGCCACGGGTTAACAATATCTGCAAAGAACATTTTAACTGGTCAGTGGATGATGCCAACTTTGTATTCATTTGTTCATTAAAAAAAGAAGCATAAAAGTAAAATGAGTGCCTCGGATAAAAAAACTAGATTGGAATGTTTTTAAAAAATGAGGGGAGAGAAAAGTAATGGGGTGGAGGTTCATTAATACCACCCCTTCACCTTTAAATGATATGTTTAATCTTTTACATAATAAACAGTTAAAAAAAATTAACAGTTGATACAAAGCCCAGACTTAACACTGCAACACAGGCTAGATTTCAGAAGCAGTTCCGAGTTAACGGTGTCAGGTGGACCCCTTCGCACTGGGAGGACCTATGGACAATGTCGCCTGTGTGTGGAACAAATGGAGCCACATCAGGACAGCCCATGGCTGAATCAATGCTACTTCTCAGGAATCCTAAACACCAATTCGGCTTCTGACCATTCCTTGGCATATGGGCTGGCACAAAAGGTGCAGTGTGGACAGAAGGCTGTTTGAGGACAGAGCCAGAAAGTTAATTCCAGAACCAACCAAGAAGGAGCCAGAGGGAACAAGCCTAAGGCCTCCTCCCTCAGTTTCAATTTCAAGTGACCGGACTGCACCTGTAGCCAAAGATAGAGCGCACTGAAGGGATCCTGGGGCCACCGCCCCCCTTTACACAAACCACAATAACCCAGGCTGGGGAAGGTAGGAGAGGACACTGAGCGTTAAACTCTTCCTGCAAAGTATTTCTGCGAGGAGGGCGCCGGATGTGCCAAAACCAAACATACAACACCAAGTTCAGGTGTGGAGCGTGAGGTCACCTATTACAGGAGGAGCTCACACATCAGGGGGTGGGGCACAGACCTGCAGCACAGAGTAAAGTCCACGCTGGTTGAGATGTCCCATTATATTTGCACAGATGTGGTTCATGGCTGGTCGGAGACTCTCACCTAAGGAAAGAAAAAGGACTGAGGAAGGAAACCCAACAAATCTCTGGCCGCAAGAGGAACTGCTTAGGTGGGACAGAACATCGGGCGCCAGGCCAGGGCCACAGGCAGCAAGATGCTCCCTGGCCTGCCTTCCCGCTTCCCTTGGGACTGGAACCAGAGTCCATGGAGATGCTGCATATCCGCATTCTCTCTCCCGAAGGCCCGGCTCAAGTGTCGCCTCTCAGGTAACGGGGCCCCGCACTCGCCCAGCCAGCGGGAAGGGCCCGGCCTTGAGCTCCAGAGACCTTTCCATTTCCCTCCAAGGGCACAGACCTTTCTGTGCTCTGTGGCTGCCTCCTCTCCCAACGAGAGACAAGCTCCTGCAGGGCTCAGGGCTCACTATAGTTTAAATCCTCCCCAGAATCCAGGATAATGCCTTGGAATAAACCCTCCTTCCTGTCTGGGGCCTCTGCATACAGTTTCCTCGGCTTTTGGAGGTTTGTCCCTCTTCACCCGGTGACTCTGACTCTCCCCCAGCTCTGAGCTCACTTGTCACTTCTGCAGGAAGGCCTGAGCCCCGACAGAGCAGGGCAAGGCTGTCCCTGCCCCACTAAACTTGCATTTCTCTTCCTTCTGAGTGCCACTTCTCACACTATTGTCGCGACAGAGGATATGCATGTGACTTCTCTTTAATGTCCGTCTCCCCACCAGCCTCTCCGTTCTGTGAGCTGCAGTT